TCAGTCGGTTAGCACGGTCGATGTTAATATGAAGACACACTCATAAACTCCGAGATATGCTTGTTCCACGATTCCACAAGGGTGTCACAAAACAGCACATTCGAAACACACAATAATCCGAACACGTTGCTTCCACACCTTCCCAGCACAACATACGGAGAGATACACACCGCGGCCACCAAACTGTCTTGTTGAGCCTGTTACCCACAGGGGAGATGTCGCTTTACGCTGCTCGGGAAATTGTAGAAGTACAGGTAGCTTCCGCTGACGCTAGTAACTCATTGCTAGCCTATCTTAGTTTCTATGGATAGAGATGGATTCGTTGTGTCGTTAAGAATCACCTGTACAGTGGTGGCTATGGTTTAACAGAGAAAAAACTGGCTTGTCACGCCTCTGGCCGAACTAAGAGAGAAATTGCCACCATCCAGTCATATTCTCTTAAATCGAACCCGCGAAGGAGGAAAAGCCGCTCATAATATACACCCAAAAACGTAGGTACCATGCCCTGGGCAGTTGGCAGCCGTTGCTTTTGGGTTTCCGATCATACACCGTCCCCGCCAGACTTCACGACACATCAATGCAACGTCTAAACGACGAGATGCACCACGTCCGGGATGCAGCTAGCTATCTGTTCGCCCCGCCAGTCCCGACGTTAGAACTCTCTCCTACGATTGTTCCACGTCTGTTTTGCTTCCCTCGACCCGTGTGCGCCCATCCACGCTACCTTAGCCTTACATCACATCGATAACCTCGAGTTAACAACAACAATATTGTTTTGCTACCCCCGAGTACAATGGCGGACGCACTACGGCTGCCCCCGCGGAGTTGCCCGTTTCTGCGTGTTCAGACTGATCGAGCTCACCTTTTGATTCATCTGAGACTAAAGAACCATGATGAATCCGACACAGTAGACGTTGTACATTTTTTTTTCTCGGGTTATTTTCATTTGTTCCATTGTACATTTTTTTTTTCTCGGGTTATTTTCATTCGTACCATGTTCAGTGTGTGCCGAGCAACCACAACAAGGTGCTGACGCAGTGTTTAACACGATGTATTTCTTGCCCTACATCATGAGCATCTTGATGGTATGGTAGTGTAGGAGAGACACGCGCTCAAAAACGGCCATATTAATTTCATCGGCCACGGTTTATGGGGATATAAAGAGAGAAAATTCTGGCTTGTGCCGACCCTCTCTTAAACCGTAGCCACCACTGTATATCTCGACGACCGCGTCGTTGATTCACAAGCAGATGGCTGCAGTAGATGCGGGATAGGCAGGAGATCACCTTTTGCATGAGGGTCACCATTTTATCTCCTCTTGGTTCCGTTTTTTTGCAGCGCACAAGTCAGCACTTCTAGCATGTCAACACCAAATATATCATATATCCATCTGTAGGCAGCAAGGAGGCAGCAGCACCGGCGGTGACTCGAGCAACGAACTTGTAGGGATAGGTGGTGCTTCCTTGAGATCCGCGCCTGTGATGATGTGTGCAGTGAGACATCCCACCTGCTACTGCTGTTGCTGCTGCTGCGGCTGATGCAGCTGCTATACATGAACTCCCAACAGCGAAATAGAGCATAATCTCTGATCGTCAGATCTTTGTCTCACTCACTCAGCCGTTCCTTGCCACATCACGAAACACAGTAAAAGCAGCTGCTGCTAGAGTAGAGCAGTGCCGCTGTGTCAGTTTGCCAACCTCCCTTGTGTGCGTTTGTTTACGTCCGGCGAATCATAATCCTCTTTCCGCCGCTAGCTCTGCTTGCTACGGCTGTGTCGCGAACAGCAGCAGCAGCAGCAGCAGAGCGCGGACGTGTTGCTAAATAAATGTGTTCCACACACACCTCTTCTTCTCTGTGTGCTATGTGCTGGGTGCTGTGTTTGCTGGACCTGCTGTTTGTTGCGAAGATCGCGAGTGATGTTTGCGCCTCCCTGTTCTGCCCCTGTTCTGCCCCTGTTCAAATGTGTCACAACACCGACTGAAACCAAGTCCTAACCTATTTTCTACGTGCGGGGCGCCGCCATTAAAACACCGCCATGTTGTAGAGCATCCGTCGTGACGACCAGTAGCAAACAGTGTCGACTTGTGTGGTGAATCATAGGCTCGTTCCAATCGATAACGAAAACAATGGAGCCAGTTGAGTGTTGGCGACCTTCGGGCATTCGTGTTCTGTTGCTTACGACGGAGAACTTGTATTGGGGCAACCATAGGCACGACAAAAAAGTTTTCGATTACTAAAAGGTGGAACCCTCCAACGCAGTTAGTGGTAGGTTTACATGCAGGAATATCGCGTCCGCTCATTTGGTACGAGGCTGTACAGTCCCGTGGGACGAAGGCTGACATGCTTCAACATGGAAAGTGCCCCCAAATGCATCTCTATTGTGATTCCAAGTCAGCAGCTTTTTGCGGTCCTACAGGCTTGTACTTCAGTTTTACGAAGACCAGTAGCCAGAAACGGGCATACCCGGGTACTTTATCACCAATTTAGGGTACACTTAGAAATCAACACGCTTGCACGCCCAGGCTGTCAGCTGATTGGCCGAAAAACCATTGTACCCGTTTCTGAAAAAAACTCCATCGGGTATAACTTCCGCTGGAATTAGGACCCTCTGGTGTTACCGATATTGGTTTCTAGTGTACCCGGAAGAGGTCGATTTTGTACACAGAAATGGTCATATAATCCCGGCGCCCGACGACTCTAAAACCCGCAGAAAAAAACGTATACCGCACATACCCGCATGACGCCCAAGTACCGCACACCCCCCACAGTAGCCACACAAACCACCAACAACGCTCGTTGACGGGCACATTGCCTCGAAGGATACCAATCTCCGACAGCCTCCTCCGTAGATCGCGGCGAAACCATCCGCCGTGCTCTGCTGCTGCTGCTGCTGTGCTGCTGTGCTGCTGTGTCTCGGAAGCATGAGGCAGGTCGTGCCCGTTTTGTCTCTCTATCATTACCTAATGTACGAGCACCACAGCGAGCTAACTCGCGGATCGAGCGAGTTCGACCCCCTCTAGGAGAGGAGCCCGGGCCCACGAGTCGATAAATACGTGAAATTAGACTGACTGGTGTGTCGTGCGGGTATGTGCGGTATACGTTTTTTTCTGCGGGTTTTAGAGTCTTCGGCGCCGGGATTATATGACAATTTCTGGGTACGAAATCGACCGTTTCCGGGTACACCAGTAACCAGCATCGGTAACACCAGAGGGTCTTGAGATGCCGCCGGCTACCTGGGGGTACCTGGGGGTGCAGGCGCGTTGATTTCTAAGTGTACCCTAAATTGGTGATAAAGTACCCGGGTATACCCGTTTCTGGTTACTGTTCTTTTACGAACAAGGGGATCCGCGGCTTGCGAGACATGTGTACAGCAAGTCGGAGGTCGACGAGAGGCACACAGGCATCACACAGCAGTATATTCCACGGCGTACAGTATCACCCTACACAAGCATGATAGACCAAGGTTTCCCACGCGCGTTTCACGAAGCGGAGCATAGTGACGACTACGGTGCGGTAAACAGGCTCTTGAGTGCTGTATCCCCAAAATGTCCCTGTGTGGGCTTCCAGTACTAGTGTAGGAGGGTTATAGGTGTTTTTCAGCAGTTCATCGCCAATATTCCAACGACTCCACTATTCTTTAAGTCTACTGTAGTTGCCGTTGTATTGTTGCTGTTGTTTCTGACGTGTTGTTCAGAAGATAATCGGCAATTTATTTTCCAACTTATTCCACCGTTATTGTCTTGAACGGAAGTTGAAAAGGCCAAATTTTCGATCGCTTGTAACTGCACAAACCACATGCTGTTGTCAGGGCGGATGATGTAGCGCTTGCGCCCTACACTCGGGGTATCCTGTACATGACAGGTTTCCGTTTCGTATCTTCAAAGCGACGATCGACCTAGAGCTTCAGCCGAAGATGATCCACGTCGACGGAGGGAAGAGAATGTTATACCCGCACCTCTGCGTGAGCGACGAGGAGGGAGTTACGAGCGTGCAGACAGGCGGATTGAACCGATTGAGCGTGCTGACATTTCTGAGCGAGCAACCTATCGTCCATGTACGTCCAAGTCATCGCACCTACAGGAAGATATCCATGTAGGGACTTTTCGATAAAAGTGAAGCACTGCCGTGAGTGACATAAAAAAGGTGACGTTGTGGAAGACGCGGAGACCATGCCACAGAAATTCGTTAGAAGCTGTAACGAACTCTCTTCATGGCCCGCCGGCAGGAGTCTCGGGGAAGGTGCTGGATGAATTGAGCATCTGCGCCCTTCCGTATGCGCATTATCGATAGTATTTTCACCTGTACCAACTGTGTCCTGGGCGGTTTCTCGCCGGGTAGTCGGGTCTCACGGGTCGGGTCGATTCAAAATCATTGCAATACGGCTGACAAGCCATTTTCACAGATCCATTTGACATGCCCCCGGCCTGACCGTGAGGTTGGCCCTAGAGTCGAATTCAAAACCAAGTCAATACCCGTGATCACGTGTTTCGACATCATAGAATTTCGTGGGCTAAGTCAAGCCAGGTTTGGAACTGTTGGCGTAAACGGGCAGAATTACGAGAGACAAAGCTGCGAATGCCGATGTTGTCTGAGATGACGACCATATTGGCTAATAGTTTTAACTTTAAGAAGTCTTCAGTCACAGGTGAGTCCCGCGAAAGGAAATGGAGAGGAATGAGAAAACACTCATCGGCTAAGGGGCATGAATAATTCCCCAACAAGGTATTGAATGCTGGACCCAAGCTTGCCACCCTCGCCCCATTTCTATCACCCGCCTGAGTCATGCGTTTCTGCTGCCGACGCTCAAATCCTCGAACTGGCGCGATGTCTTTAACCGGCATGCGACCCGTGGCTAATGAAAACCGCGTAGAAATCTCACAGGTCGGGTCAGCTCCAATTGAAAATACCATGGCCGGGTCGAGTTGAGTCAGAAGTTGCACGAGGTCGTGATAGGTAGAGCCAGAAGAGTCCGAAACGTTTTGAAGGCAGAAAGATTGCGGATGGGATCGGGGCCCTTGTGGGGTCGAACTCCTTTCGTGTCACTTCGTGCGCTGGAAGTATTACCGCCGACGTTGCCGCATGCATGTCAAAAATGTCCTCAGCTCGTGCAAGACACGAGGCTCAAGAAGGGTTTAACGCAGGACGTAAAGGACGGACACAATCAGCAGTTGGAGACCTACCAAGCAGACGTCGAGGCAGGCCGGGCACCAAGGGTGGCCAATCCCGACGAAAACTTGTTCGTCTCATGCCCGCGGATGAGGCTCATATTCTACTTGTACGAGCCGGTACTCAACGTCCTGTTCAAAATCGGCGTTCCACTGATTCTGGTGCTCGTGCTGATGTTGGTGAGCAGCTGCAGTTGATGCTTGAGCAGAACCTTCGTTCAAACTGCAATAGGATGAGACACGCGTAATGTGTAATGTTCTTAGCGCAACGGTCTACAGCTTGGTGAAAGTCGCATCACAAGCTGCGGACCTTTGATGGGTACGGTATGCCACTCCGTCGGCGAACGACTTCGATCGGCCGCCGCGAAAATGGCATCAGCGATTTCCGTCTCCGCAGTATGGCATTCCCGAAGAATTACACTCAAGCCTGGAAAATCACGCAACCAATTGAGATAGTGGCGCGTACTTCCCATCTTATTGATTTCCTCCATCCTAGCCAACCAATCTACTAAAATAGACCAAATCGTGCCGAACACATGTTGCTCTTGTTTCACGCATTGTCGTCAGATGAACTTCCACGAGAACTACGGACCCCTTGACGACACCTTGGGCACTTGTCCTAGCGAGGAACGAGACCCAGGCTATCTCGCCAACGCCATCGGCATCGTGATCACTGCGGCGTTCGTGATCCCTGAGCTTGCATGTAGGAAGGAGTTAGTGAAATCACCGAATATCAGGTGGGGGCTCTGAACGAACCAATGGTTTGTTCGTTTCCCTGTGCCAAACCACATCTGGAGCACCCAATGGTGCCGCGACTAATAGGATGGAACGCTACCTCTCCCTGTGCACATGCCGTCAAATTGCCCGTGGAGTGTTTGATATATATGGTAGTGGAGTAATAATGTCTTGTACGCGGGGTGGAAAACCTACACTCCGCACAAAAGTAATGATCGTACCACGAAGTGTGAAAAGGTTCACGTCAACACGAGGCAATTGTGCTTTTGTTTATACGCATTGGTTGTCTCTGGTTGTGGTGAGACCAACACCGACGAACACTATGTCGTCCGAAAGCTCTTGTAAATGAGATGATGCAAGAAAGTACGTACGACAATACTTCACCCTTCAAGCGGTTCGCAGAAGATCACCGTGGCACTTCGCAATTCATGGCAACCCCGTCAGCCTTTAGTGAAGTCCGCTGCGCTCTGTCCCCACTGTGCAAACTGTGATCTACCGAGTACAGCATGCATGGTCATGACCACACCAGCCATCCTCCTCCACGCAACTCTGGCATCATCTCGATATTTGACACGCTGAAACGAACGCACCACTGGCTCCCGAACGCAGGTGCTTCTCTGTGAACGAATTAATGCCGGCGCTCTTTCTGGCAGGACTTGCATTGGCTACGGTGCGGAAATGCCTTGTGGTGTCTTTGGGAATCCTGCTTAACTGCTGGGTGCCTGTGAGCATGGTCTTCGGCGCTCTACTCCAGTTGTACACTTGCCGGAAACTGAAAAAGGAAACTGCGACGAGCGTCCCGCAAGTGGTGGAAGCTAGTAAAAATGTGGGTCGGGGGCAGGGTAGGCGTCCGCTGTACGCATTTCCTTCAGAGATCATTTCACTCGGAATAACTTGAGTCCTTGCCGTTGCTTGCCTTTGCTGATCCCTGTGTCGATGGAGCTGACACGCACGATGGCGCGTTTGGGTACATGCTTCAGCATGGTTTTCATTTGCAATATAGCGGACATGCCGCGTTGGAAGAACATCGCAACATCATAGGATCTTACCGAGACACGTGGTACCTCTACATGCATGCGATGACCCCTGAGTTTCACTCGGGAATACGGCTTGTTATTCGTGGCGAGGTGATCGCACTCAATAATTTCTAAAGGGGCACCAGTGCCTTCTGCTCGAACTCGAAAGAAATGGTTGCGTCCACACGTATTTCTGGCTGCCACAACCGTTTGTTTCCCCAGGTCTCGAACTTCGACATTGACAGGTGGCGCCGAGCGAGCGTTGAGGGTTCATGCTGAAGATGATTATGACCTTCGAGGACCTCTTCCGGCGCTGAGTGGCACTTGCTGGCCATCACGCCGCGTAAAAAACAATTTTGTTTGCGCGAAGAGAGGCCCCGTAAATGTTGCACTTTTTTGTATTTGCACCAGAGGTTGTATATGTTCAGTTAAATGGCGAGAGGCGGCCTTATGTTGTCGTGGGGCAAGGCGCAGACAACACCCTCTACGGGGTTGTACGCCGCGCAATTCTGACATTTGATGCAACTGGCGATGCTGCACGCCCGTCCGCACGTTCTCTTGAGGTGGCAGATCACGGTTGGTAATAGGGGTTGCTGGACGGAGAATCTCGACAATTGTTGGCGGCTAAAGGACACACACGATGCATAGGGAGACAGCAGTCTCTGCCAGGGAAGGATTTCCCCGTAAAATAACTGTCGATGTTGGGAGATTTTTTTTATCTTATTGGCAAGTTTGTTTTTTCCGCGGCACGCGTCAAGGCCTTTTACTCGTACTTTTGGTTGCTTTAGCATAACTCAAGGACAAAGTGGTCATATGAAAGTACCGGCGGATGCGTGTGTGTGTGAGTCTTCCCGTTTTATAATGGGGGTCAAGGTTCACGGTTTTCTGTATTTTCTGGACGCATCAGCTGGGATCACACAGCACGACAAAGGGAAATTCGAGATTTTCGTTGCATTGTATCATATCAACCTTGCTTCTCCGGAAGGCTAGCGTTGTTTCGCGTGAAGGAATATGCCGTTTGTTCTCCTGAAGTCGAAGTTCACGTGTAGACGCGATACACAAATCGCTCTTTCCATACGTTGGTCATCAATATCCAAGTTCGATTGACTGCGCCGAGGTTTGAATGCGCGTCCCGGCTGAAGGTGGAAGGTTGCCTTTGTAGTTGCCAGCGGAACGACTCAGTCACTGCTTTGTGCTCAATCAACGGGTGTGCGTTGAGGAAAATTCCACACGTAAGGGGACTGAAAACTGGAGATGTCGAGAGAAGTAAAGCACGGGGTCAGCCGAAAATTCCCGATATGTCTTCGGACCTGCAGCCTTATGTGTGTTCAGCTGCGCGCATCCTCAACGACTCGTTGCAGAACACTACCACTGTGGAAGCACAGTGACAGCAGCGGCGGTGCATCACCACCATGTGGTGATGTACACTACCATTGAGAAATCAATATGGACGGTGATGTCCACGGACGCTCGAAAGGCGTCCGCCGCCGACCACGTGTGCGTCCATGCTGGCAGCGTCTGATACCTCCCTTTTCGTTGTCGCTGGGTCGTCAGCGCCTGGGAGGTAAGCCTAAGTTATATATTGCTAGGAACGTCGTCGTCGTCGTTAACCATTTTAGGCTATTAGTATGAAAAACATTTCAGTATGGTATGTTTTGTTGTTTTTGAAACATTTCCATCTCCATGTGTACATGTACGTACTGCTGCAACTCAAACTCTGAACGATTGGTAACATGATCTGCACCTAAAAATACGACCATGATCAAACGATGGATACAGTCCTTAATATGAACAAAATGCGGGAAATCCGCGGACTTTCCGTCGAGTCTTGACGATGACGAATGTTCACGACACACTTCACTCGACGCGATGCACACACAACATTTTATTGCGGACTATGTGTGCCTTATACCTCCCACCGACATTATGGACAGATAAAATTTTTCCGAACTTACTCAAGCGCCACCATACTTACGTTTGTGCCTTGAAAGCTCGCACGATACGTCCCGTTCCATCTTTCACCACAACGATAGGACGGTCTGTTGTATCCCGAAACGAATCGAATCGCTGCTGCTGTGCTGCTGAACTGCTCTGTAAAAACACGCCCGCCTGGAACTGCTAATAGTAGCAATGGCACTAAAGGTGTGCGTGTAGGCTCGCGACTGTTGTGCCACCCCTGCTGCGGAGTGTGCCTGCCCTCCTACATGGTAACCATCTCACTGCAGGCCTTTGCATGCACGTATGTTCGTATGTGATTATGCCAGGGAGGGTCCCGGTGTGGTGGTGACCTCAAATCAAACAACACGCCTTGGGGTTTCTCCGAGATTTCGGAGAAAGTCACTTTACGCAGAAGAAACTGTTCGCATGTACATATAATGTACCCCATACATTCCCAAATCTCTTCTCCGACTACATACCCACATCTCTCAAATTGACTCTACCACCCACAAAGTTTTGACCGACAACTGTACGCAGAAACTGTTCGATGCAATGTTCGTCTCGAACTACATAGACATACGTACCCAGATCTCTTCTCCGACACATACCCCGATCTCTCATTTTGAACATATCACCTACAACCTGTGACCGACAACTGCTATACTGTCTTGCGACGACGACATGTTTACATCTGATTTATCGGAAGTGTCATACTTGTAGATTTCGGCGACTTCGATACACCAAACAAACACGCGAAGACACCCAATAGTATTAGACGCGGGCGGCACAACGTACCATCCGACAGTGCATTTTTTCTGCAGGTGCTGCTGCGTACGTGACATCGATCTCCTCCATTATTTGACAAATGTGTGTAGCTTCCATGGAAGTAGACTTCCTTGGAAGTAGTACTGACGTCCAAGGAAGTCGTTGAGTTTAACTTCTATGGAAGCTCGCAAATGACTGCCATAGAGTGTGGGCGACTTCCGTGGAAGTATACATAGCGGGGGCTTCCCGTGCAACTTCCATGGAAGTTGTTTGTGGAAGTCAGCTAGCTTCCATGGAAGTCGCTTGGTTCGCTTCCACTTTCGAATTCTTTCATAGAAGTAGATAGATGTGGGCCATACTCGGACAGCCTCCATGGAAGCACAATATTTGACTTCCATGGAAGCATCCTCGCCGTACTTCCATGGAAGTATGCCAACCGACCCCAGCTTCCATGGAAATCAGTATGGCAACTTTAAAATGCAGTCTCGATCCTGCGGCAGCGAAGACCAGCAGCGGGGAAGTGCTCTGCAAGTTGATGGGCCTAGAGCTCGCCACGTGTGCGGACATAGCAGTCCGTTGGGTGGTTGGGGTTCGGGTTTTGGTTTCGTGTAGGGTCAATTCGGGGTGCCTGCTTTATGAGTTGGTTTAGGTGGATGTGTGGTGTGGTTCACGCTTGGTTGGTCGATGGTGCTCTGGTTATCAGGACGGGAGTATTGGTGTTTAGGTCGTCTGCCCGTGACGTCAACTTCAAACACTTCCATGGACGTACATTGAGTTTCCACGGAAGCGTGGCGAGCTTCTGTGGCCTTCCATGGAAACTGTGAGCGACTTCCATGGAAGAAAATCAACAGAAGCGTGTACAATCTGATAAAGATAGTGTAGGTTACTGCTGTACCCATGTACATAGAAAATAACAAAAAAAAGAAAAATTGATACGACAGACAGGGTTAACAATACCATGTGTTCTCACGTCGCCTCAAGGACGCTATACCCACTTAACACATTGTATCTGGATGACCTCTTGTGCAGTGGCGGTATTTTTCGGGGCCCGCCGTCCCGCGCATTCACGGCGGGGGGCCCCCGCTAAATGCCCTACAATAATTCGTGTATACAGGCCGTAACGTTGCCTCCGTGTCTCTCGTATTATGGAATGTCTGATATGCAAATAAGTGCATATACGTATTTACGTATGCAAACGTACCAAAAATTGTTTGTAGACTACATGTACATAATAGTCCATGTGCTGATCCAATTGACTATCCACATTCAAAACGATGCACACTTCCTCCAGCCGCAGCACAGGAGTACCTGTTATGCGCATATGTTGGACTGAAAACCATAAGCATTGTGCGAACATTCCCCTTACTTTACCTCGATTGTCTAAGAGGCGCTATCCTCCTTGGCTGAGGTACACGTACTGTGCCTGAATGAGGCGCACAGCCCTAATCTACGTCGAGACGTGACGTTGAGCCCACCGTGAGGGCCGGCGTCTTGGCGTACTGTAGTAGGTGCATGGGCGATCTTGTAGGACAATGTGGTCGATGGCTCCTGTCTCGTTTCCTGCTCATGGCGTGTGCGTCGTGACGCACCCTTACTTCGTCACCACGCCTGACGTCGCCATTTCCAACCTCGTGGTCACCTCGCAGTAGATGACAGCCTTGCTCAACTGCTCTACGAAGTCAGCCTGCCAGAGCGCGGAGCGCGGAGCCTGCCATTTTATTTTAATTGGGCCGCGCGGGACCGTACATGGGCAAAATGCGAACCAATCAACGTTGCCTACCTCTCAGCTCGTTTTTCTTCCGCGTTTCGGACGTTCGGACGTTCGGACCCAGCGGACCCAACATGTCAGCATGCCAGCGCTGAGGTGAGTGTTCCACACGCGCCACCAACCAACTTAGCCCCCCTTTCCTTGGTGGCCATGGCTGCGCATTCTAGGGGGGTGCCCTCGACCGAAGCAGTGGAAGCAGACGTGGAATTGACGGGTGTCGGTGAAGGCGAAGAGGACGACGATGCGCCGCTCCTTCGGAACTTCGGCATGGCTACACCTGCAGATGGTGCTCCTGCTTCTCCTGGTGTACACCCCCTGCCCAATTCCTCTTACACCCGAGACAGCCACAGCTGGGCGTCGAAGCTAGTGTTCTCCTGGGTTGATCCTGTGCTTGAGAAGGTTAGTGTTTTCCGCTGTTGTGTTGAAGCTGCGTGAGTGTTTCGTGTTGAAGCTCGTGTCCTTTGCTCCCTTGGAGGGAGGGCCCCTTGCGTTGGCCGATGTACAGCAGTGCATGCATGCATGTGCGATCTGGACTTGGGAACATAAGTACACCGACATTGCACACGGGTGCAGCTTTGAAATATTACTAGCATTCTTTCTGAGATATTTGTCTCCTAAAGAGGCGGCGTGTGCGAATTGTCTCCGGTCGTTAAATACAAAGGAGAAAGACCACCAACGGCCCACAACCTAGAGTCTAATGGCGTGTGTTCCCTGCGTTTTTGCCAACGACACACCCGGTAATGCAGATTCAGCGTTTTCCGTGGGATAGATAGGTTTTCCGTGGGATAGATAGAGTCAAAGATATGCTTGCTGTGGACTCAAAGCTTGTTTTCCCTGTGTTTCTTTTACAACACCGCATGATATTCAGTACCTATTTGGTTGTAATACTTCATCTGATACGTCGAGGCAAGGACCGAGAATGTGTGTGAGCGCTGGTAAAACTGAACTCCGGGTTGCCACACGGGTGCTTGAGAACTGCAGTTTTCCTGGTGTGTAGCCCAGGGTTCAAGTCGAGTTCGGAGGCAGAGAGAGAGAGAGAGAGAGAGAGAGAGCAAGGTCTACATAGGCTAGCGGTTGTTACGCAAGACAAGAACATAGAAGCAGTGCATACGATCAGTGAACTTCGAGACATGAGCGCTGTCTGTCCTCAGACCTAGTCGCAAACTCCGGACAAGCTCCGCTCCCAGCTATTCTGGTTGCGACGCTCCTGCCAGGTGTTGTCTAGAATTCCTATCGAGGGCACAAGTGATACTATCTGTAGATGTAATACATCTCTTCGGTGGCCTTGGTAGTGAACACCCCCCCCCAAACTCTCCCATGGGTACCTCCTTGGCCCTTTCGCGTCTCAATTTCAGAGTCGAGGCGGGAGGGAGCTGCAGCTGGGCGACACCTTGCTCCTGCCCGATGGGCTGACGGCCGACGTCCTCTCCGAACGCTTTCGGCACTCGTGGGAGGGGTTGGTCAGCGGGGGTCGACCGTCACTTGCTTCCGCCTTCCGGGCGTTGTTCTTCCGGTAAGAAGTGGCTTTAACACAGGGTCACGAGGATCTCGTAGCTCCATGCCACCCTCGTGCGGAAAATACATTTTGGCACTGCAAGTGTCTTACATGTTTTGGTTTGCTTTCGTCGCCGTCGCTGTGTTGCCCCCATCGTGGTGGTTGTCGTTGTCATTGCCTCGCTGGTGCTACTGCTGTCCTTCTCTTTTGGCGTGGGGTATTCCCCTTCCTACCTCTACCTCTCATCGTCACCGTCGTTTTTTGCGTGCAACAATGCTTCCGTCACCACGATAATTCAGAATACCCTGCTGTTGGCCCCATGTGTGGCGTAGAAAGCACTGCTAACCATGGAGCCTCTTTCCGGCAGTGAGTATTTCGTGGCGGGAGCGTTTCGACTGTTGACGGAGCTGGCCAAGATAGCGGCGCCCATGGTGCTTCGGGAGGTCATCCTCTTCGTGGAGGGGAAGGCCACGGCCGTGCCCAACAACGTCACCGGAGGGCTTGCCCTAGCGTTGTACCTGTTGCTGCTGCTGCTGTTGCAAGCGTGCGCGCTGCAGCACTTCATCCACGGAGGTACCGATAGTCTAGCAGAAGCGGCGTCGGCGTGTTGTCTTTTTTGATGCGGTGCAGAAATTGCACGGCTCGTCGTGCCGTTTCGTGTTTTTCTTATGCATATTTCACCTTTTCATCGCGTATTTACAGTGCTATTATGGGAGGTGGCCCGTCTGTTGAGGGCGGATTGCTCTTCATGTCACAATAGACACCAGTTGTCGATTTTCCTGTTCTGGCAATAGGTGGTTCGGCTATGTTTTGTGGATGCTGGTTTCCGAATCACGTCGTTTCGCGTGGAACTGGTGTTTCTACTGCTATTTCTGCATTCCACGACTGAGACGACAATCATACTGGTCCTTAATGTCATGTTGCCATGGCAAGCGTGCGTCTTTCAGCGCATTTTGTTCCCTCGTATTTTGAAGTACGATGGAGGACACCGTTCGCGATAGACGCTTGTTTCCCGGAACACTAGAAAAGGATAGAGAAATCGATACAAGGTACGAAGTACATCAGAGCAGGTCCGCCTTTCCTTCTCTGCGAGGCGCTCGCCGGTCTCGACGCTGCCGTATCGAAAGGATAGACTACGGGGTTCGACGTCGAGCTTTCCCCCGAGGTGCTCTTTGTCAAGAATTAACCCCGTCCACCCTTGTTCTTGTTTTCCGTTCTTGTCTCTTCTCGTGCGACAGTTTTCGTCGTGGGTGCGGGCGTGAACACGGTGGCGACTGTCGCGGTATTCGACAAGGCACTGAGGCTGTCCAGGGCATCGCTGGAAGGGCCTCGTCTAGGACAGGCCCTGAACTTTCAGGTGACTTATTTTGCATGTCCAGCTCAACTTTTTCTCCACTCCTTCCGTGCGGGAGGAAGTACCTCGGCTGGTGCTGGTTTTGCTGGAGGTATTGTTGTTGCTATCGTATGTAGCCTTTTTTGTGCTGTTTGTCTTTGTGTGTTTTCGGTGCTGAAAGCAGGCGCGCAACGGCGACCACGCCGTAGAACCTTATCCGCAGCCGAGAAACCATGGTACTAGACCTCTCCACATTGTCTTTCCCCTTTTGCTGTGAACGGTGGTACGTTGCGGCTCACGGCACGTATCACACGTAGGCCAAGGATGCGTCCAAGCTGCGGGAGTTCGTGGTGTTCTTCCACAACCTCTGGGCGGCCCCCCTCACCGCCCTCGGCTGCACCCTGCTGCTTCTGCGCGTCGTCGGGGCCTCTGCGCTGGTCGGGGTGTCCTTGATCCCTGTTCTGATCCCTCTAGAGACCTGGGTGGCGAAGCGGTAAGGAGAGCTGAAGAGCCTGTACCTAAAAGATGTTCCCTCAGATGACGGAAGGGCACACGCATTGTAGGCAATAGCAACGGGTGAGCCTATGGAGCACCGTTCGTTCCTGCCCATGGCAGAGCAGAATCCAACCGCTCAGTGCTAGGACCCCTGATTTGTGAGGCCATTGAGGTTGGCGACTCTCAAACTGGCACTCTTAGGATCGATGTCCGAACAACAATATCGCAACCCTGGACCACGCACAAGCAAACGTTCTACAAGCCATCGCCCACAGACAGGGACGGACGTCTCGCACAGATAACCCGCACGACTTGAAACAGAATTTTGGCTGAGGAGGCTCAACAAAGGCATGCTGTCTTCCCCGCAGGTCGGCCAAGTATCGGAAAGGTGTTCTCAAGGTGTCCGATGCCCGCATCAGCCTTATCGGAGAGATCATCGACGGCATCAAGACGGTCAAGCTCAATTCCCTAGACCACGGGTTCAAGTCAAAGGTGGAGCTTCTGAGAGCGAAGGAGCTCGCCAGCATCCGCCAGGCTTTGACGCTCAACGCGTACAACCAGGCGCGTGCACGGTGGGGTGCGGAGAGAGTCCTTGGTTTGTTGAAAAAGCAATTGCTGAAGCCTGCATTGCGCACAACCTCAACTGATCCCCAAGGCGGACACGTTCGTCCGCGGTCACACAACGTGGCGGGGCGTGCCATAGAACGATAGATGCTCTAACCAGCGGCGAGCATTCATGTGTTCTTGCCGCCACCCTATTCGCAGTACACCTACATGGTATCAGTTTTTGGCCACGTATTGGCCTTGTCGTTGTTGGCATCGAGCGCGGAGTGGGAGAGATGCGCTCAATGTATCTACCTGTGCATCTCCAATACATCGACCGCGCCCTCAAATAACTAAACGTACCTTTTTTTGTCTTCGCCACTCCTGTTCGTAACGAACACGAGCACAGGCGGTGATGCGGTCCAGCCCCATCGTGGTGACGCTTGCGACGTTCGCGGCCTACGTGCTTTCGGGCCACGAGCTGGACGCACAGACGGCCTTCACGTCGCTCGCTCTCTTCGGCACGATAGGCCACCCGTTCCACGTCCTCCCGAAGGCAAGCCGCGCAGTTCAGCTCCTTGGGTGGTCTTCCACGGCAACACCCCGTGGTGTCCCTTTTCTACTTTCTAAGTGGTATCACTTCGAAATGCGTGTGCATACTTCATAGGAATGCCCCAGTGTCATCAAGGAGTGGTGCGAGGTAAAAAAGAAAGCTCGAAACGTACACAACGGTGAAAACATCTCTAACCGGGAATGTTGGCGTCTCAAATTTTTCCGACCACAACCCAGCCGTTTTGCAATGGTATCAAGACGAACATGTGTCACACACGGCTTGCGGGGGTGAGCGACAACTGACCCGGTCCAAACATGCGTCGTGTGTGTGCATCTGCACGTTTCAGAAATCGGCTACGAACACAGGATATACGGGGCCTTCATGCGTGTTCGTTGCTTTGACACGTTGCTTCTGACAAACCCGCTTCATTCCTTCCCTCTTTTTCCCGGGTTCGCCGCCGCCGCGCTGCCCATGATGCCTTTGTTCGAGACAGGCTGTGCAGCTCCTCGCGGATGCGAAGGTGAGAACAGTCAGGGCCGCCAATGATCTCGCAAATCCTGGGCAGATGACATCCGAATCTCACTTGGCACGTTATTAATGCGAGATCTTGCATATCCAACGTTTCCTGGTACGGTAGCTCATGCACGACGCACACACCGTTATCCCGGCCGTGAGCCTATGAGACGCGACCGATATCGACACGCACACCGAAAACTCCTGGTTTTCTTGCACCACTGTTTTTTCGGCGTTCGCATCCCACACACGAAAAAGAGGCGTGTTTGACACGAGGACCACGGAACGACAACCACGCTCACCCCACCCAGGGCAACTCAGCGCTCGTTTTGAGATCTGAGTTGGCGCTGGGATCCTCTGCAACTGGTTTCGACGGGGTGGTCGGAGAGGGTGTGAAACGCTACTTCATTTGGGCATAAAGCTGGGTCATACCCTTCTTTCCCGTTGTTGTTGAATTCGCACAGGTTTGCTATTCCAGCAGAACAGCAGTACCAGCTGATTTGTTTGTCACAGCCGCCCCTCGACTTTTTGCCGGCCCCAGATGGCACTCCTGCACTACTCACCCTCGCCGTTTTGGCGTACACGTGTCCCGGCAACAGGTGTCCCTACGACGGCTAGAGGCATTCCTGTTGGAAGGTGAGACCAAGCGGCTGGAGAACGTGACCACATCGGGGCGGGGGGCACGGAGCGGGGCGGATAGCGTTGAAGGAGACGACAGCTCCCCTAGGGTGGTATTGCGGGAAGCGGCCTTTGGGCCGGTCGCTGGTGGGTGGCGACTACTCCGCGGTTCTTGTTTTTGCTGGAGCTACTGATGGTGCTGTTATTGATGGTGCTGTTGTTGCTAGTGCTGCTCTTGTTATTGCTGTTGTTGTAGCTGCGGTTGATTAGCGTAGTGGTGAATATGGGTTGTTGATGTTGATGCTGCTGCTGCTGCTGCTGCTGCTGCTGCTGTTGTTGTAACGATGAAAGTGATAGCCCGAGAGCAGGCATGCATGAGACGGGCGTCTGTTCGGCTCCAGCGTTGACCATCGTTGTTTTTGTTGATGTTGCTTTGTGATATTCAATGCCAGCAGTCCGGTCATGTTTCGGTTCTTATTCCTCGCCTCTTTCTCTCATGTTGATGTCTATGACACGCTCCAAGTTCATGAACGGTCACCCCTCGCACACACAGCAAGAAATATCCGGCCACATCTCCCCCTCTCCCTGCTGCTTCATCACCACACCCTGATTCTCTACACCGTGACACCAACGCCATCTTTGCTGGGTAAACCCTCTTCCAAGCAACCACTCGCGAAACAACACGACACCGTGCACGCCTATAGGAAAACCCTGCTTGGAGCACGTGACGGCGGAGATGCGTCGGGGGCTATCTGTCGTGGTGGGGCCGATCGGCTGCGGCAAAAGCACGCTGCTATCAGGCCTCGTGGAGCACCTGCCGGTTCGGGCAGAAGGCGGGGACAAGGGGTGGCGCGAGAACGGCGGCGGCGGCGGTAGGAGCGGCGGGGGTGAGCGTGGCATGGGTGAGGTTACTGTGGTGGCTCCGGATAAGAGGGTGGCGTTCTGTCCGGATACACCGTGGATAGTGAACGCGTCGGCTCGTGACAACATCTGCTTGGGGTAAGCGGCGTTTCGGGAGTGTGGGGGGGGTTGCCTGCGGTGGAAATAATGATGCAAATACTGGTGGTGCTGATTGTGCTGGTACTGGAGGTGTTGTTCGTGGACGGGGCGGACGTCTTCCTAGCGGCCGTGATACCGGTAACCCGGTGCTGATGCTGGTGCTCTTGGTGTACGTACTGGCTTTCTTGGTGGAGTTGGAAATGGTGACGCTCTTGGTGTGATGCCATTGGAAATCGCCAAGACAACATCAACCATAATACCTTTCTTCATGGTAAGCAGGCCGGCTACCGCGGACAATCGGCGCATGCTTTCGTTGTTGGGCTGTTCCGTGTGGCGATCTTGTCGGATCACGTCGCGGCTAACAATTGCGTGTGCTGTCGGTGCAGATTTCCTGCAGAGGCCTTTGATGAGGTTCTGTACCGCAGGTGCGTTGAGGCATGTGCTTTGGAGCGAGACTTCGGCGAGTGGGAAGAGGGAGACCGGGCGATAATCGGAGCAAGAGGTAACAGCTCGTCCCAAGACTCGAATTACTTCATTGGTATGGCATCTCTCCGTCCCCGTTTTGTCTTCCCATTTGGCATGTTTGTTGCTGATGATATTTTGCCTTTCTTGCTCTCGCGCTGACGGAGGTCGTTGTTCCGGTGGTCCGAATGTCAGGCGCTGACGAGCGCTGGCTGCAATTGCAAATACTCAAGCGGATGGCGCTAGCAACATCTCCCTTATATGGCAGAGAGTGCCAGGCCTTCGGTAAAAATCTGCACCAGGGGTGGGAACTGTGTTCTCTCTCTCTTTCTCTCTCTCTCTCTCTCTCTCTCTCTCTCTCTCTCTCTCTCTCTCTCTCTCTCTCTCTCTCTCTCTCTCTCTCTCTCTCTCTCTCTCTCTCTCTCTCTCTCTCTCTCTCTCTCTCCCTCTCTCTCTCTCTCCCTCCCTCTCTCTCTCTCGTGCTGGACTTGACACATTTACCGGGTGAATCTGAAATGCAAGCAACAAAACGAGCAACCCATGCCGCCGTATCCATCCTCAGGCATAACGGTGAGCGGGGGGCAGAAGGCCAGGATAGCGCTTGCGCGCGCCATGTACTCCCGATGCTACGTCGTTCTCCTGGACGACCCCCTATCGGCCCTAGACAACATCGTGGGCGGCTGGGTATTCCGTCGAGCGGTGCTGGAGATGGCGCGAGACGCGGCCGTTGTCATGACGACTCACCAGCCGCAGGTAAATACGTCGTCGCATTTTTTTTTTTGTTGTTGGACGACGGAATCTGCGTGCATTTTCTCCCCCGCTTGCGTGTACGGAGAAGATCGAGAGTACACTCCGTAGCAAGCGAAGAGGAAGATCCGGCCGTTCGCGCAGTTCTATCCTGTCGATCTCGTACACGGGAGGCGAGATATTATGGTAGATTCGGCGGCAGGGCGTTTCTAAGAGCGGCGGACATGGCGACTTGTCAACAAAAATACCGGACGAACTACAAATGGCACGACTTTTCTAGTTCATTTGTGTGGTATCGTGTAGCTGTTTCTGGATCATCAATTTTTCGTTGACATTGCTTGATATGTGGTAGTTAGCGCCGGTGGCAATTGTTCAATGTTTTCTTGACCGCTCTTCCGTATAGATGCGTAGTTTTGATTGTTCCGGGTTTTAGGCACTCCGCGTGTTTTATGTATTCTCCCCGATTGTATTTTGACCAACCTCTGCTCCTGCTGCTGCTGTTGATGGTGTACAGTACATGAGGAAAGGGGACTGCGAACTATTCTCAGTTAGCGGGGGGGCACTAGCGCTCCGGGCAAACGGAGAAGAGCAAGTACAAGGCGTAGAAGAGCAGGACACTTTCTTGAAGGCGACGGGACTTTCCACTGCTGTGGAGGGCGCAGAAATGGAGGTACGAATGGACACGAACTATCGATATTATCATCGCTGCTTTCTCCTGCCCGCGGTACAGGCGGTTCGAGCGGAAGGTATCTGTCGTTTCTGTATTTTGTATCGCGTGTACCTATTTCGGGCGCTTTGTTTGTTCCCCGGTCGATTCTTCGTTAACAATGCCGAGTGAGTACGGAATTCCGAAAGTTCCATGGAACGTGCTCTGCTGTCGGCGGCGACAAACCATCCAACGTCACTTGGTTGCCTGCACAAATATGTGTGCAGTTTGCTGAAAGGACTACGATTGACTAAGCGCGAGAGGTGCGCACAGCTTGTCTGTGTGCGCCGATGTACGCTGATAGCTATAGTGCTTTCAGAACCTTAAGCTCGCCTTCCTTCAGGCAACCTGATGCCAACCCGTCGTCGCCATGCGTAGTATGAGCTATGGAGACCTCCAATCGATCCAGATAGCATGGTCTTTGGTTTTGGCTGTCGTTTCGTGCACGTCAGCCTTGCGTCCTCACCGCAGCAATGTTAACCAATATTGGTACACTGAACCATCGACTTGAATGAAAAATGGCCGAACGTCGTCCTCATTCATGAACGACCCCCTCCCTCGTTATTCCAAACTGTCAATGAACTGTTGGCGTGCTTGTATTTTTGTTGCACGCACACGAGAAGCCCGCCTTGGCCAAAGCGACCGGTGAAGCTCATACACCACCCGCTGCCACCGCGAACAAGCCTGCAAACGCCACGAAGCCGGCTGAGGCTAAGGCCACTGACAAGACTGGTAGCAGCATGTCGACGCTCTCGGCGAAGGTGAACGGCGACAGAGCAAGGGGTGGGGTGTCCAGGTCGGTGTACATCGGCTACCTCAAGGCGTGCGGCGCGGTCGTCGTGTCGGTGGCCCTCGCAATTTCCGTCGTCGCCCAGGTGAGAAATGCCACACTACTTTTCCTTGTGGAAAGCTTCCGCGGAATTTCCGTGCTGGAAATACCCGGGTTTTCCTCTTCTGTTTCTCGCTGGTGTAGATCGCTGCCTAGTCGGGTCCGTGGCGCTCGCTTTCTCCGTGCCCGGATGGGTTTTTTCCATCAGAGCAGATCGCTTCTTCATGCCCGGGTACGCTGGTCGGAGTCCACGCCCACCATCCTACCTGGTATTGTCTTTACCTTCTTCACCGTGCTCGTCGAGGTGACAGCAGTAGACCTTCGTGCTCGCCCCGGCATTCCGTCACTTGTTGCGCGGTCGTTGCTGTTGCCGAACGTCAGCTTGTCGACGTGTCCAAGGAGATCGTTCTTGCCTACTGGTCCGACAGCAGGACCAACAGACCCGGTCTGTACTTGACCTGGTGAGTGTGACTAGTTGGGATGGGTTTCCCGGCAGATTAGTTGGTTTTCGAGCTGGGGGGGGCGCGGAGCACCACGTTGACCGAGGTATCCGGTTGTACATTACTTGTATCCGAAGGAGAACGGGGGGGGTTCGGAGGAGGGGGGCGTACTCTTATGTTTTGCATGCCTTAGCGGTTAGACCATTGACCACGCGTCCTCGAGAGGACGGAGCATTGTTCCCACAGGACCGATCACCGATGGCCAATCGTTCCTTCCTACTTTGCCAAAGGTGGCTCAAAAATGTCTTCCCTACTCTGTCTATCCTAACGATATCCCTTCCCGCCTTTTCAAACCACTTCCTACTCCCCAGTACAGCTACCGTCCTCTCCTCTCTATTCCATGCATCAAACATCTCCCTGTACCTCCCTTGTATTTTTTCCAGCTCAGCCATGTACACTTCCCTCTACTTATTGTACCTCCGACATTCCGCGACTACATGAATACGGTCTTCGCATTCGAAGGAAATCACATTTGAACTTGCCGTCTTCGTCGTCTACCGTCCTATGTCTTCGTCGACGTTCTCGAAGACCTATGTCCCCGGTCCTGAATTTGACCTTAAGCTGTGTCCCTGCATCCATTGGTCCATGTAGGCAATCCTTGAACCCTATTCCTTCTTTCAACATTCCGTACACCTCTAGACCCTCCTTATCCTCAGTTTCTTCCTTAGATTCTGTTCTTCTCTCTCGGCACAAGCAACAGATATCTTCTCCTTGAACCCTGTAGACCCTCCGTTTCCAGCGTTTCATCTTCGTCGATGTCGAACACTTTCATCCGTCCTCTACAACCTTGATCCATTCCGTGGGTTGTCTACCCCTCTTTTTGTTCGCCCACTTCGCCTCCCATACTATTCTAGGCAACCTCTCCTCTCCCATCCCGCACATGCGATGCTGCCATGTCAGCTTTCTTGCGTCTCTTCCCGACCGTAGGGATTGGATCCCCAATCCTGCCCTGACGGCTGCATTACTTGTGCGCTTGTAGCATCCTAGGATGATTTTCGCTGCTTTCATCTGTGCCGCCTCGATTTTTTTCACTACCTTCTTATTTCCTTTCCACACTTCTCCGGCGTACTCTAGCGGCGGCACGATTACGCTCTTCAAAACCGTCAATTTGATGCGTGTATCGAGGTGCCGGTTTGCGAGTAGTACCGGTTTGCGAGTATTGGGTGCAGCTTCCCTGCTCGTGCTTTGCCCTTTTCCGCTACCTTGGACATGTGTGCATTCCACGAGCAGTCGTTTGCGATCTCAACTCCGAGGTATGTGCACTGGTCCGAGTTCACGAAGTGAATTGGCTTGTTTTACAACGTCGTTGCCAAGCGACGAAAACCCAAACCCCGATGGCAAACACCGAGTGGGGGGCTTGTTTTACAACGTCGTTGCCAAGCGACGAAAACCCAAACCCCGATGGCAACCACCGAGTGGGGGGGGGGGGTTACAACAATGGTCAGGATGGTCGGCACCAATTTGACTGCTGGAAGACCCCGGTGGCATGAGCTTGGTCTTTAAGGTGAAGGCGTTGGCAGCTGAGGAAACTCCCACTTTCACAGGACGATATGGCAACGGAACAGGGTGGTGGGTGAAGGCGTGCGAAAGCCGTGCTTGCCAAGAGCGAGGGGTTAAGAAAAACATCACACACAAAATAAGAAACCATGTTGAATGCTGCGGTCCTCTCCTCGCAGGTACTCGTTGGTGTGCCTGTCTGTGGTGGCGATGAACGTTGCCCGGTTCTTCGTCGTGTGCTGGCTCGGCCTTTGCGGAAGCGAGTCCCTCCACAGGTCGCTACTTTCCAAGGTGGCGAAAAGCGTGTTTTCAGAAGTGTATTCTAGGCACGGATTGGGCCTGTTGTGTTGCTACGTTTTTATTTGTGACATGCTTTAGGTGGGTTTTGAGCCTGGCATCTGAGAAACTGTCAAACGTTCATCCTGCGTGTGGATTTCGGGGTACGTATAGCACCAAGCGCGCCTGTCCAATTGTTCGTGTTGTCGGTGTAGACGTCATTGCAGGAAAGTTTCGGTGTGCTCGCTTTGAGGCTTCCAAACACTCACTGATGGTCACAGCAACAACTACTGTGGTGTTGGCGGGGGTGCCTGTTTGGCTGATTTTCCGGGAAGTCCGGGAACTAGTCTGCGCCGAGCTACTTTCAAACAACAAACCTTTTGGGTGCTCTCTCCCCTAGGTCTGCTTGCAGATCCCTAAGAATCGCAGACTGATTGTCTTTTTTCGTTTATCGAACAATGACTGACTCGGAAATTGCCTACATGCCAACAAGGTAGCAGCTAGCCTGAATGAGTCCTTTGCCGTCCGATCGCCAAGCTAACAACGTATGATCGTTGGTGCAACCAAGGTCATGGGTGCTCCTCTGCCATTCTTTCAAGTCACCGACAACGGCCGAATCACGTCGAGGTTTGCGTCGGACTTTGACTCGATCGACTTGGCCATCCCTACATCACTCTCGTCCTTCATGGATGCCGGTAAGTTTGGTTCCGTGCAGACATGACGCCTGGTTTTCTTTTTCATTTTGCTTCATTTTACAGAATGAATAATTGTGTTGTCAAAGTACGTGGCCTTCGATGCCTTGCGCAAGACTGCGAAACTCTCCGGTGCGTGTGATTGTGGTTGCTCATGCTTTCGATGTATTTTCGACCCCCCGCCGATTTAGTAGTCCCAGACGTGACAATCACGAGGAACGCTCTCGTCTCTGATAACGTCTCTGATAAATATAATTTGCAGCTGCTTATCGTTGCCAATTGATATTCGGTCTTGGCGAAGCAGCGCTGACGATGGTGGCGGCCGTAGGCGTGGTCGTTGGCGCGTCTCCTGGCGTGCTCTTCGCCATCTTCCCCGTGGCACTGGCATACCATCGGGTACAACGGACCTACCGCATGGCAGCGAAGGAGGTGGAGTGCATTGCTTTTGAGTTGCATTGACAAGGTGGCACTATCTCGCTTTTTTCCCCACGGGCTCCGACAGCCGTTTTGCGCTCTTGGAGTTGTGTTTTGCGTGTTTCTGTCACTGGCATCGACCTCGCTAACCGGGTGCCTAATGAGAACACTTGCAGCGTGACACAACAATGTGAACACCCTTCCAAGTGTGTGCTTGTGTGTGAGGGGGAGAAGAGAAGAGGGCGGGCATCATTCACTATTTAGGCCCCGTCCGTTGACTAAGTGATTGACTTTCTCAAGTTCAACGCCGAGCACCGACGGCAATACCATTTGCATACGGGAGGTTGTCGGATCAAGCAGTGACCTCTCGAGTAAGAGCTTTTCGGAATTCATCCAGCAACAATCTCTTCCCACCCTTGGTCCACATTAGCTGAACTGCCAGGTGAGTCGATGATCGCGGCTTTTACCCACTAATGTTGTGCTTTCGGATGTATTGATGTCGCCCAAAAACAAAAAAACGCGAGAGCCGCGAGGATATGGTAGTCACGGCATGCCTCGTGTCAGACCACGTTGTCTCGCTCGTGACAATGACATCAATAGCCACAAGCGTGTGTGCGCCGAAAATGACATGACCAACGCCGCCAACAACGACGCTAGCAATAATACGAAGCCGAAACCAAATCCGACGGTACCAATCGCCAACAGCGACAGACGGTACCAATCAACAGCAGCAGCAGCAGCAGCAGCAGCAGCGGCAGCAGTAACCATACAACACCATCTCCACCAGACCACCACCACGACCACCAGCACCACGAGCACTACCACCTGCACCACCACCTCCAACATCATCACCACCACCACCACCACCACCACCACCAACAACAACAACAGCAACAACAATACCACCACCAAAAACACGAAAACATCGACAGCTGAAACGGCTGGACAGTGCAACAAAGTCCCCGATCTACTCGCACTTCCAAGAGACCCTCGACGGCCTCAGCAGTATCCAAGCCTATGCCATCGAGCAAAACATGCGGAGGAAGAACTTCTTCACGGTGGATGCCAACGCCAGGGCTAGACTCACCTGGGATGCCACGAACAGGTAGACTACCGTAGTTCAACACCCGAGATACAAGTTCCAGTATGTGTGCAATCGGCTCAGCTGTGGGGGTTGCTGGGATTTCATACCTTTCGCCATTTTTGTGCATATTGCGATGAAGCAGCAGTTGCTAAGAACTCTCGTCGCAGCAACTCGACAACACTGCGGAAAGCTCGGCCTTCCTGAGGCTCCCGCAACGTGTTGTCGATTGCAATCGTCACACCTGCTTGTGAAGTTTGTGCGATTTTGACATCCCTTGGTATGGCCCATCTCCAGGTAGTGACTTACAGTGATCGGAATGGTTGGCTTCAATACGAGAAGTGTGGCTCAAACGGACGGGATACTGCTAGGTTGTCCGTGTGACCACTGGGTCACCATAACCCTCCTCGTGGTCAATGTTGTCGTCGTGTCCAGAACGTTTTTTATGGTAGGTGAATCCGGCGGGCCCCCCTCCGAAACGCCAACAGGATGCTGAGTTTTTTTCGAAGCCGAAAACAGTTTGCTGTTACTGCTGTATACAATTCTTTTGCTGTCATCCGCGCAGGTGGCTGGGGATCAGGCTAGACTTGCTCGGCGCCCTGGTGGTTTTCCTGGCGACGCTGATGGCAGTGGTTGCGGGTAGATCGTCTCCAGGGATGGTGAGCTGCTGTGCCAAAGAACCGTTATTGGGGAAGCCCCTCTTTTGTTCGGCTTGCTTCTCCTGTCTTTGACTGTACGATGTGCACCGTAGACACTGAATACGAAATCAGCATTGACCATCCAGTCTATTGCGAAAGTCATGTTGGTTTAATGGATATTATGTCCGCCTCGTCTGCCCCATTCCGTGGCTTGCGACACAGTACGGCCACCGCCAAATATGTTGCACCTGCGACGTTCCATTCGCTCTTCCCTCCCGCACGGTTCCTGCCTTGCGCGCGGACGATCAAGCGGGCACCGAGCTCTGATATTGTTCGGTTGTGTTTTGCATCCCAACCATCTGGACCTTTCCCCCCATGCACAAAAGGCTTTTCTGCTTCTGTCGTGTTGCCGGACATCCGCGGCAATACCCACCCAAAAGCCCAATACATGATCCACTCGCCATTTTCCCGATATTCGTAGACGAGTATCACAGACACGCGGCGCTACAGGTTTCGGTAGCCAAGCCCCTCAGGGAAGCAATCCTTTGCCGTGACTACCATCACCCACCACACTGCCGAACACCTTTCAACCCCCCCCCCCCCGTGTGTTCAAGGTCGGGCTCGGGCTATCGTATGCGTTGACCATCACTCGGACGCTGAGCTTCGGCGTTCGGTCTTCGACGGCGCTAGAGAACCAGTTCAACTCCGTCGAGCGGGTGCAAGAGTTTATCGGCCTCGCTCAAGAGGAAGATGACTCGCATAAGGTACAGAACGGTGGGGCGGTTGCAGGACATATTCGAGGGGTAAACCTTCTACGTAACATATATTATAGTTTCACTTGTTGTCACCGTATTTGTGAACCTCCCTCGCGGTTTTGAACATACGCGAAGTCCTGTCTTCTCGTGTTCAGTTCACGGCCCGAGGGTCGGGGGGAACACACAGTGGAACCCCCTTCTGCGAGAACACATCCAGTAAAGTACGACGAACTATCTAACCTCGAGCTCTCTTTTCGTCCCATGACAACGACGGTGGGGTCCATAGTTTGGCAACTTGGTTCAACCCGTTCTTGATTCGACCCAGACCTAACCTCACTTTATCTGCTGTGGGATACAATACGAGTGGCACTCCACGAGACTCTCACCTCCTGTCCGATTATGCATGTAGTGTTGGGATTGGTCGCATGGTCGCGAATTTATTCTTACGCGTAAAATACCAGCCGGCGACCGTGTTTTAACCGTCAGAAGTTGCACGTCCAATAGAGTAGCGAAATCTTAGGCTTGGTAGGTTCATCACCAACAACAGCGACATGGCACACCTACTCCCATATAGGTGAAAGCAAGTGGCCCCGCGACGAGGAGGCCTTGGCCGTCCAGCGGGATCGAGCTTCGAGACGTGGATGCGAGGCATCGGCCAGACCTGCCCCTAGTTCTGAACGGCGTCACCTTGTCTGTCAAGTGAGCACCACGCGATCAAAACCCAGCACAAGCAGTAAATGGTACATGTTATACGCTGAACGTCTCCGCGTCTTCGTCGTGTAGTCGAGCCGACTGGTCGATCACTCGTCGCGGGAACTCCCATCACCTTCAGAGAGGTGCTTGGATGACGGCCTCTCCCGCGCAGAGTGCTTGTATGAACCCGACGAACAGCCTATCCTTTCTCTACACCATTTCATCGACCCCCCTCTCCTTTCGAGTTGCATAGAGAATCTCATGGGCTAGCCTTTGTATAAACATATACGACAGGAGAGTAAGCTGGAGTTTGCTGCTGCAATTCCCCAAGAACCCCCCCCC